TGCAGGGCACAGTCTCCAGAGTGTGGGGATGGGTCCTTTGGGGTGCTCTAAAGATTATTTTGGGGTGTAGCCTGGCCCCAGTGTCTGCTTGTGTGATTGTCCTAGGGGCACTGCACTTTGGAGCAGCTGGCACCAGAACTATGCTTTGGACTAGGATATGTCCCCTCGAAGGGGAGAGTCCTGTGAATGTGGGGGTATATGATATGTGGTGGTCCAGACCTTATTTTGGGGTTCAGATCTTTCCAACTCATGCCCCAGTGTCTGCTTGTGTGATTGTCCTAGGGGCACTGCACTTTGGAGCAGCTGGCACCAGAACTATGCTTTGGACTAGCATATGTCCCCTCGAAGGGGAGAGTCCTGTGAATGTGGGGGTATATGCTATGTGGTGGTCCAGACCTTATTTTGGGGTTCAGATCTTTCCAACTCACTCTCCTTAGTGTTTCTGAATGACTACACGAATAAGTAACGGATAAGGAATGAATAAGGAAGTGCGAATAAGGAACCAACTTCAGCCTCCTCTGCACTTCCAGGTCTTTTGGAAGCCTGTTTTTTATTTTTTACCCTAAGAACTATAGTGGCAAGATAGTCTGTCTAAATTAGGTCCTAAACTGAGTCAAGAAAGCTTGTTTTCAGATGGGAAAAAAGTGTGTTTATGTACGTAATGAAGGTAGTTAAGAAGGTTCTATGAACGTAAATTCCAAACAAGGTAAGGACTAAAACTGAAATATCCTGAGGGATGTGCAGGATTTTCATGAGATTAGAACTGGATTGTGTTAGAAAGAATCCTTGTTAAACTTTGTAGTGTCACTTGAGGTTTTATTATTTGATTCTTTGGTCCTTTGCAGTGCTGTGATTTTCTAATAAGCTAACTCCTCTATTTGGTTGTAGTTTTGCTGTAGGGTAACAGCAGCAGCTCCTCTGAATGTTTTTTCTTCTCCCTCTTTCTCTCCCTCTCCCCTTTTCTGTTTTCTTTGAAATCTCAGGATCTTGGTTTGGCCCAGATATCTGCTACCAACACAAAGACACCAGTCCCTCTCGGATCTCTAGCCCATCAAGTCTACAGAATCATGTGTGCCAAGGGCTATGCCCAGAAAGACTTCTCATCCGTGTTCCAGTTTTTACGAGAGGAAGAGAACTTGTGAACCTTTTTCTGACAATGGACATGATTAGAAGCCAAGTTCTGTTTGGAGCCTCCTTATTGTGATTACTCAACAGATACATCGGTATAGTCCAAAGATCATGAATCATGATCTCACCCATACCTATTGCAGACTCCTGGATTTAACATCAATTGTTTCAAACAGCAGGTTGTTAGAGAGGTTTTTAAAAATTTGCTTAACAAAAATACATACAACTGATTTAAAAACATAGTAGGTCTTCAGCAAAACCCCGTCAATAGGAAGCACACCATTTGCACATAAAACTGATGCCATCATTTTCAGCTAGTCAGACAGAACTGTGATTAAAGGGACTGGTAACTAAGCTTTCTACAGAACAAAACATTTCATCTTTAAAAACAGAAAAAGAGAAGGTTCTTGTGATTAAGAATTTTTCTGATAGATATTTTTTTAAACCTAGTGTTGGCCTAATAACAAATTGTGAATTTCTCATGAGAATAGTGATGGAAAGTTATGTTAAGAAATGTACGCCAGTGTATTGGAAAGCTGCTACTACCCGTATGGTTTTAAATAGTAGGCATAGTTTAAAAAAACACTTGTCAATGTGTGTGTATTTCTACACTATACTTTGCTAACCTAATTTTGTACCTTTTTTTACCCTATTCACATTTTCAAAATATTTATGTATACTAATCTCACTTGATACACACTTGTTTTAGGCAACTACTGCATTATTATAAATCTAAATAAGTAAACCCCTTTTCTTTGTAATCCAATAAAATTTAAGACGGCAAATGACCACTGTGAGTTGTGTGTGCGCATGTGTTTGCTTGTAGTATTATTGAATTCCGTGCATACAAATAAAAGCTCAGGGAAGCAAGCACCTGTCTTGCATAGACAAGTGCAAAGAGTATAAAGGTTATAAAGACTAGTGTGTTTTTTATGTTTCCCCTTTTTATTTGATAAATGATAATGCAATACACCAGCATTAAACCTGATAACCATAATCTAGAGTACCGGAGTATGTGTGTAAACCCCATTTATCTTTTATTTTATTTATTTCATTACATTTCTTAACTGCCCTTTCCTGCTTATGCAGGGCGCAGGGCGGTTTACAACGACATAATTCAATACAATTTTAAAACCAATTAAAACTACAAGAATTTAATATTAAAACGTTCAGTATAAATATTTAAACACTTTAAAAAACAAGATGGCATATCTAGCATTCAGATTTTTTGGGGGGGGGAGAGGGTGCTGGGCAGATGTAAGGAACCGTCACTGGCCTCAACCAAGGGCCTGGCAGAACATCTCTGCCTTGCAGGCCCTGCAGAACTTTAACAGATCAGACAGGGCACGGATGTCATTTGGCTGAGAGTTCCACCAGGCTGGGGCCGAGAAAGCCCTGGCCCTGGCCGAGGCCAGCCGGATATCTTTGCAGCCAGGAATCACCAGGAAATTCTTATCTGTTGATCTCAATGCCCTTCGGGGGACATACCAGGAGAGGCAGTCCCAAAGGTATGTAGGTCCCTGACCGTTAAGGGCTTTAAAGGTGAGCACCAAAACCTTGAATCTCATCCGGTGCTCCACTGGCAGCCAGTGCAGCTCGCGCAGCACCGGATGGATATGTGCCCTCTGTGGAGTCCCTATAAGGTCCTGCACAGCCGCATTTTGTACCAGTTGGAGCTTTTGGGTCAGTCTCAAGGGAAGCCCTATGTAAATCGAGTTACAATAATCCAACCTAGAGGTGACTGTTGCATGGATTACTGTGGCAAGGTCGGGGCAAGACAGGTAGGGGGCCAGCTGCGTAACTTGGCACAGTTGGAAAAATGCCCGCCATACATCATGAACCTCTCCCCACATGGACACATACATGAAGAGACATGAGGAAGAGAAAAAATATATATTAGAACTGGTTAATCAGGTACTTGGAAGCAGCAATCACTGTATAAAACATACAGGAGTCCGATCTCCTCCTGGGATTGTTCTAGAAGTAATTTATAGACCCACAGTAGTTCCCAATTGATCCTCTATGCATAATGGAGAGCAGGGGCAGAAGTGAAAGTATCCCCATCTATCTGCTATGAATGGTTTACTTTGTCTCTGATAGGTGTTGTTGGTTCCTGGATTTCATCTGTGAAATGGGTCTCCATGTTTTGGTTTCTGCACACATATACATGGCTCAAAAACCTGCCAGTTCAGCTTACATCCTGTTTGCCAGTGGCATTCAAGCACTGATTAATCACTTGGCTGGATGGCTGTTTGCAACCTATTCCTGTCATTTGAAGGAGCAGGCACAGTCACCATGAGGAGTCTGCTTCTGATCTCTTGTTGGGGAAATTTTGCTCTGAACCCAGCAAAATTTTTTGTTGTGAGTGGAGAGATCATGGGTATTAGCTGGAAGGCGGATTCTTCTGAGCTCTCAGAAGAGGGGGGGGGACAACTCTCCTTTTCTCTGAAGAACAAACCAACAGCTTGGAGTGGGGAAGAGAAGCAACCTCTTTCTCCTTTCTTTTGCAGCTGGGAAATCAGAAGCCAATTGCCTCTGAACTCCAACTTCACTGAGTAGCTATTTTTCTGGGGATGTAGATCAGAAGTTCATTCCAAGCTGATCATCCATCAGCTGTGAGTCAGCTTCTGATTCCTCCTGAAGCTTTTCTGTATTCTAGCACAATGAGGCTTAGGTACAGGGATGTGCTGGCAGATCAGAACCCAGCTGGGTTTCCAGTTTTGGCGTTCGCCATGGCAGCCGCTTTCTCCCAATCTCCGGGAGATGACTGCCAGAGCCGGTAGTGAGGAGGGTGTCGGTGTGTAAGCTTCAGCACCAAGATCTCTAGGATCTAGCTGACAGCTGCAGTAAACCAGATCCAGCCGGTTTAGACTTGGCAGAGCTAAGCCAAGTCACAATGAGCACTAATCTGATTGGCTGACCTATGTATATAGGTGGATATGTATGTTCTCTTTTGATGGTGGATGGAGTCTGGCAGAGCATTTTGTTGAAGAGCTGTAAATATTGTAAATACATTCCTGTATATAGTAACCACTGGACTGTCTCAGTGTGGTTGACTATAGGAAAACCTCTGGTGAGTGAAAGACTGCTGGTGAGTGCAAGTGTGACTGAGGTGCTGGTTCATACTACCAAATGCACTGCGCGACAGAGGGGACTGCCAGAGCCCACATTGAAACGTGAGTTGGAGTCTAAGTGAGAAACACCGAAGAGCTAGTTGAAAACCTACCCTTTAAAAGCGAGGGGGGGGAGAGGGAACTCTTCCCCGCTAAGAAAAGCTAAGCGAACTTTGTGCAATTACGAAAAGGGGGGTGGACTAGTGAAGCAAGACAGACTGAAATAAAAAGCATTTAAGAATTTACCAAGCTGTTTTAAAGAGTATCAGAGACTGTGATAGCTTTTACTAAAAGTAAACAATCCCCAAACATGGCGCCCATGAGGAAAGATGAGAAAGACAAACAAGTGAAACCTCAGATGATGGGAAAAAAGAGATTGATGGACGAGTCTCAGCTACAAGGTGTTCCGGAAGAAAAGACTGAGAATCTGAAACAGACTATGTGTGATGTATTAGGCCCCATGGCAGACATAAAAACGGATACTCTACAAAGCGAAAAAGATATGATCTATAGGTTGTATTCTGAATTTACAAGAAAAAATAATCTGCCTGGGGAAGTGATTATAAGATTCTCTAGAAGACGTGAGAGATCAAATTCTCAAAGCGACTAATGGATCTACCCTGAAATTCAAAGACAAAGAAATAAAAGTATTAAAAGACACCCCGTTTGAAATAAGAAAGAAGAGACGGAAATACAGAGACTTGGTGATATTTTTACAAAAGAGCAACATCCCATGCCGATGGATTGTCCCCAAAGGCACAATCTTCACATTCATGGACAAGAAAGAAAAAACTGACTTTGTCGAAAAGACACGCGAATTTTTGCACCAACACAGTCGTCCATCAGGAGAACTAGAAGTCGAGAAAGAGGACAGCACCAAAGAAAGCAAAGAAGAAGGAGCAGCGGCATCTTCAGATGAGAACTCAGATTCCAAATTAGGGGCAGCCGCCCCGAAGACAAGCTACCTTTTGAGGGGGGGAAGTATTAAAAATGAGATGTTATTACACTCTGAAAGCTCTTACAATGTATTGTTATAATTATTTCTTAGGTTGCTTTTTAAGAAGTCAGAAGTGGTGGTGTATAAATTTAATTTACAGTATAAATTGACTACTAGATTACCACATTCAATGAACTTGAATCAAACCTTGATCTAAAAGGTAATTTGTTAAGCAGTACGCTGAACTGCAGGCTGTGGAAGGTCGGTAGTTCAGCAGTTCGAGACCCGAGTGTGCTGCATGACGGAGTGAGCTCCCGTCTCTAGTTCCAGCTCCTGCCAACCTAGCAGTTTGAAAGCAAGAAATTGCAAGTAGATAAATAGGTACCACTTCAGTGGGAAGGTAACAGCGTTCCGTGCGCCTTGATGTTTAGTCATGCCGGCCACATGACCACGGAAATGTCTTCGGACAGCGCTGGGTCTTCGGCTTTGAAACGGAGATGAGCACCGCAACCCTAGAGTCAGATTCAACTGGCTTTCGAGCAAGGGAACCTTTACCTTTATGTATGACCACCATCTCTTGGGTTTTTAGTGGGTTTTCTTTACTTTCTCCCATAGTATGTAGATCCCCTCCCTAATTTTTGTTGTAGTTTATAGAAAATGCAAATTTAAAAAATCCCCTACGGGGGGGCATTAAAAAAAAAAGAACCCAAGTCCTAGCTGGTCCCCCAAGACTTCTGACCAACAGACAACTACACACTTGTTCAGCAGCTGTTTGAGTTGCTTAATGCCTGCTGAAAATATCCTTGATTGGTTTATGGTCTGATTGGAGGCTGTTGAACTGATTCACTGCAAAATTCATAGCTTCCCTATAGATGTAGGCATAGATTATCAGTAGTCCAGAGAAAGGGCAAAAACACCAGTGGATGGCCAAGCAAGTAAAACATATTCTTGGCTTTCTATCCATTTTCCACAGCTCCTACAGGAACAACATCATCCATTCCAACCCATAACTATCTATATGCATACATAAAATGTATTAGATTTCATTATTTGGGGGAATATGTATGCTTCCCTCCATGACAATGAACTCTTTAAAAAAAAATCTGATCCTACCAATTCAGAAATTGGCTACTGAAGCACAATTTAATGGTGAAATAGTCATCTCTAGGAAAGGAAGTGTGTAACTATACTGAGAGCTGAGCTGAATTTGAGTCCTACAAAAACATATCAAAAATTATCAATTGGTTTGTTTGATTTCTTGAAGCAAGCAGGGTTATTTCATTTCAGGCTGAGATCTACATGTTTTTGTAAAATGAGTTTTCAGTAGAAATCCTTTACAGACAGAGATAAAGAGGAGAATGTAACTGCTATTCCCTGTTCTCCTTAACTGTGACCTAGGGCCTTCTCTCTCTTTAGGGGTCGGAAGTAATTAGTTATGTCTGCTTGTTAAATGCTGAGGTTTGCTGAACTACGTTTCCCAGGGAAGATCGGCTGTTTGTGCAGTAGTTATATAATCTATTGGTCACCAGCCTTTACCTTTGAGCTGGGAGTGAATGAGAATACATGCTCCTTATTTTATTCCGCATATGTTCTCACAAAGTCTAGCTAATCACTTCAACAGATAAAAGTAGGGTTATTACCAACTGCTGAATTAAAGCAGCTATTCAACAGACATTTGAATTTGGAAAGGGAAGCTGGGAGTCCTGATCCTCCCAGTG